ATGGAAGTTTCCACGACAATTATCCACTGTTTACGGGGGAACGACTGTCATGTTTCGAAGGTGAAATTTCACGGTCAGCGAAAAACGGTAGCTCACCAGGGATCTATACTAATTATAGGTTAAAACAATGTCATAAACCACCCACTAATGTTGATGGTTTATACTGTAGCACCACAATTTAAGTTGGGGATGGATTGTTTTAACTTTGGATTTCCATGTCTAATCCATCTTGGATATTCGTTTGGAATCAAATCAAATCTGAACATGCGACCAACAGCTACCATTGAAATTTCAACTTCTCAACCAACGTTGAACCAAGATTTAGCCAACATTCAACCAACATTCAACAACAAGTACTAGAAGTGCCACATGAGTATGGGGTCAAAATTGGATATCCCTATACTTAGATGATCTTAGATGATTCTTAGATGCCTAATACGAAAAAAAACATGCTAAAATCTGTGGTCTCCCTGAAATTTGGACCCATACCCATGCAACTCGGCAGGAACTCCTCAGTGCCATCGGCCGCTGTCTCAGTGTGGATGCCCAGATGAGGGTCGCGCGGCGGACAGGCGTACAGGCCAGTGTTGGGCCTATGTGGGTTTGCCGATTTACATCATATGTATGGTATATGTATTTATTCATATATACGTATACATCTATAGTTTTGTGTTAAAATGGTCGTTTATATATATATATTACATAGTATCTATTACATTTTACTGTTGATATATATATATATGTATAGTATGTATATGTATGTTGGTGTATGCAACATTATAACGTCAGATACTAGAAAGATCTTGCCAAATGGACATGTGGCTTTCGCCACTTATCAGACATAGCATCCAGTGTGATCGATTCGGATCAGTCAGTGGTGGCGTTTGTTTCATGAATTCTGGTTCTGGCTGATTAAATGTAAATGTTCACTTGTTTGGTTTGAAACTGCATGTGTCTGATTTAAATCCCCGCAATTCTTTGCTCAAAGCCTCAAGTGACTTAAACTTCCACAATGATCTCTTCAGGTAGGGATGCAGGATCCCTTTCCAACTTCAGCACAAACACCATCGACTTATGTTTCACAATATTTTACAGCCTATATAAGCTGGCCTACCTGTGTATATATATATATATAAGCCACATAAACATATATTTAAAAAAAAAAACATAAAGCAGGTAATAACACATGAAGCCACATATAAGCCACCTTTTTTTAGCCACATTAAAAAATCAAAGATGTTGTTTCCAGCACTGATTGCCACAAAATTGGACCCAGGTGGTGATGCTCTCCACCGCCGTGCGGCGTTGGAGGTCCTGGCCTCTTTAGTGCCTTGGTGAAGCGACCATCCACCGGTTTTAAACGTTTTTTGTTCATCAAAGACGTGGTGAGTGGTGAGAAAATGGCGAAAATTAAACTTTGAGAGTTCAGAAAATAAGTTCGATCGCTGATCAGATATTGTTTATATAAAGAAGTGGTGAGATAGTTTATTTATATTATGAGAGCTAAGATTAGCAAGATGTTAATTGCTTGAAAACTAGGGGACAATGATTGGGTGTATGGTGATGGGCTTTGTAAATCAGCATTTTGAGGGTACCACATTGTAGAATTCATGGCTATCAACCAGTAGAAATCAACCATGATTATTATTCTGCTTGCAGTAAATTCATGGCTCAAGGATATTCAAAGGTAAGTCAACCAGTCAATGCACAATTGTTTTGATTTTTTAGGTGGCAGTTGCTTGGAATGTTTGGACAGACCTTAAATCTTTAGTGAATGGAGCTTTAGCCAATACAGGGAATGTAATGTAGTAAATCATGCTTCGGGTTAGGAATGATTTCAAAAGGAAATCGTATCCAGCAATTATAATAATATAGCAAATGTGTCCATAAAGTTTTTGGCAGATAAATCGAACTATTTAATAAATCCAACAGTTACCCGCTAGTTACTAGTTGCAAACGAACAGTTATATAGTTATTGCGGTTTTCTCATAATTTACCCAACCCGGATATGTTGGTTTTATATCTCAAAAGTATTATCGTTATGTACCATGAACTAATTCCATTGTCAAGCTGTACCAATCATATAAATTATATCAATTATATCATGTATATAAAATGTTAAAACTGTTCTAAGAACTATAAATTAATAATATATACCAGCATATGTACACATACTATTTATACATTCTTCAGTAATCAAACATTGCAAGTGGAAATCCCTTGTAAATGGAGCTTTCAATATTCATATAATCTATGAACGGAGAAATTTCCATGGCCAGGTTTGATTGCCAGAAGGTATCATTAGCATTATCTTCAATATAAAAAATTACTCTTAATTCATATATGTGTATAATATATACACATATGTACATTGTATCTATGATATCTGTGATCCATTTTACTATATCCATAGTGGTTTACAATTATCATTTTCTTACCAGTATTACCGCACAAGGCGGTGGCGGAAGTTTCAAAAATAGGAAACCTATAGGAAAGCTTGGTTGTTGTGAATCACGGATGGCAGAGCGAATCCACTGATGGACCGAAAGGTGGTTGAGGTCTCCTCTGGTTCTCTCTCTTTCTCTCTCGTTCTCTCTCTTTATCTCTCTTTATTTCTCTTTCTCTGACTATCTACCTACACTCCTACCTACCAACCTACCTACCTCCCTGCCTACCTATCTATCTATCTATCTACCTATCCATCTATCTATCGATCTATCTATCTATCTATCTGTTTATTTATCTATGTATCTATCTATCTATCCTCTATCCTTTCTATCCTTTCTATCCTTTCTATCGTTTCTATCCTTTCTATCCTTTCTATCTTTTCTATCCTTTCTATCCTTTCTATCCTTTCTATCCTTTCTATCCTCTCTATCCTTTCTATCCTTTCTATCCGTTCTATCCGTTCTATCCTTTCTATCCTTTCTATCCTTTCTATCCTTTCTATCCTTTCTATCCTTTCTATCCTTTTTATCCTTTCTATCCTTTCTATCCTTTCTATCCTTTTTATCCTTTCTATCTTTTCTATCCTATCTATCCTATCTATCCTATCTATCCTATCTATCCTATCTATCCTATCTATCGTATCTATCCTATCTATCCCATCTATCCGATCTATCCTATCTATCCCATCTATCCTATCTATCCTATCTATCGTATCTATCCTATCTATCCCATCTATCCGATCTATCCTATCTATCCTATCTATCCTATCTTTCCTATCTATCCTATCTATTCTATCTATCTATCTATCTATCTTTCTATCTTTCTATCTATCTATTAATCTAATCTAATCTAATCTAATCTAATCTAGTCTAGTCTAATCTAATCTAATCTAATCCAATCTAATCTAATCTAATCTAATCTATCTATCTATCTGCAAGCTTGAAAACGAAGCTATTCTGCGAGACGTCCTCAGTTCTTGAATTTGAGAACATCAAAAACGCAGAAATTCAGCGAGACTTCTTCAATTGTGGCAATTGACAACATCAAAAGCGAAGCAATTCGGCGAGACTTCCTTCAAAAATGGAAAATTGAGTGCACAGCTGACAGCCTCGTACCATTGGGTTTTGCGATTTTTCCACTCCACCTGTCTAAAGTACTGCGCCTGCCAGGAAAAAGTGATGCCAGGTCATACGAAGTGCTGCACCTGTCACGCAAAATCATGTTCCCAAGACTGAAGACCTGATGCTCCAAAATGCAACCCCTCTCAGGAAATCAGCGCCCGGACCTCCTAAGAGCTCTGATGAACATGTCTCTTGCACTGCGCCTGCCACGGGAAATGCATCTTTGCAGATCCTCTTCAAATGTCCCACGCCTGCCATCGTTTTTGGACATGCTACAAGACCCTCACGTTTTGCTCACGTTTGACAAGGTCCACAATCCCTTGCGCCTGCCACGCGAAACAACATCTGAACGTCCAAAAGTGGTCCAAACCCCTAGTCGTGCTTTTAACATTTTGACTTCGAAATATGCTTCGCGCCACAACGGCGTGGACTTTTTATACATCTCAATTTCCAAAAGTGGTCCGAGAATGGTGTGTCTTGTACATGTTGACTTCGAAATGTGCTTCGCGCCACAACGGCGTGCACTTTTTCGACATCTCAACTTCCAAAAGTGGTCCGGAGCTGAGGTGTTTTTGTGCATTTTGACTTGGAAATGTGCTTCGCGCCACAATGGCGTGCAATTTGTCATCGCTCGCTCCGCACCCGCCGCTTTAGCGAGCCTACTTTTCGATCCTCTTGAGCCACAAATCATTGGAAAAAACACAGTGTTTCGCGACTTTCCTACCTTTTTGCGCACCTGCATCTTCTTTCTTCTGACTCTTTCTCTTCTCTGATCTTCTCTCTTCTGCTCTTCTCTTCTCTATTCTTCTGCTCCACCTCTGCTTTTCATCTGTGCATATTGTCGGAAGTTTGGCTTCTAAACTTCCTTCGATCATTTTCATGATATACACATTTTATTTTAACCATAGATATGGATCATCATATATAGATTATTTAAATGGATCATCCATGTGTCTATGATAAAATCCATAATTTTTATGGTTGTTTCCTGGGACCATGGATTCACCGCCCAGGTTCGCTCCATGGGCGCAAGGCTCCACAACTATTACCCGGAGATCGGCACCACCCTGGCGGCGCCCTGGAGATGTGGAGCGGTGCAATGGGGACGCCTTTGGCAAATTGGGGTGCCGTAAAACGTGGTAAAACCATGGCAGAAATTGGGAAAAACCATGGCAAATTTATGATTTCCAATTTTCCATGGATTTGAATGGACATCTCATGATTATCATGCAGATTTCACCCGGAACATGTATTTTTGTTGTGGGATAGCCGGGATAAGCGGGATTTGATGTGGATTAAATGGGGATTTTCATGGTGATTGTCGAAGATCCAAATTGAGGTGGAATATGCTCCATGGTGAGAGATTTGCCAACATTTAGCCCATAAATGATCCAGTCATGTAGGTAAATAATGGTAAATATACTAGTCACATGGAGCATTTGAATGGTTTCGAAGTATAGTGGAGATCTCCCATTGCCATGCATCTCATCTTAGGCCTGCGTGAAGGATGTGGATCTCAACGTCCGCATAGCAGCGTTGTCGGTGGTTGGGGCCTTGGCAACATCACAAGGTCATGGATAAAAAATATATTGGCCATTCTCAGAAGTTTGCTGTTACAATAGGAACTTATAACAGAGATGTTTTTTTCCCACTGGTTGGGTGCTATACAATTTTTTGTTCCATGAAAAAAACAATAGAATAACCAGATGATACTACAGTAAATACTATATCAAACCGACCCCTCTAGTTTTCCTGAAAGCGCATGTTTTTTTTTTTATACTAACTTAAAAGCAATGGTCAATCACATTTCATACCCCAATTTATATGGATATTTGAAGTTATCACTTATCTTCTAGGATAGGTTGGAAATCAAACAATTATTTGGATAAACTAAGACAACTTCACGTCGCGACTTCACTAGAATGATTGTTGGGATTCGGGTAACCGTGCCAAAGTTGTTATTTCAGGGTGGTCAATTATTTCAGTATACCCTTCTGTAATCAAAGATGGCAACGGAAAATTAAGCGTCATGTATGGGATATTTAGGGATATATCATAACATATCATATCCAACAACTAAGGCAATAGGACCCCCGAAATTGTTGATGGAACATGTATATACATTTATGAGTATAACTCAAAATTCAAGTTTCAGTGGATCGCTGATTGTGGTTATTTTAGTATCTTCTAAGATTCAGGGGTGCCCAATTTTGACCGGTACCTGTATGGTAAACTCATTAGATACAGCAAGAGAATCGAATGGACACCTGGTTACCTGATGTTACTTGGCTCCTGGTTTCATGGTTCTTGTGTTGTTACTTTGCTTCCAACAGATAGTATGATGATCCCCATTGACGAGCACATTTGTATGGGTTGAAACCACCGAACAGGCGCGTTGATTCTCAAACCGGATGAATGGTCCTGGTAACCACTGCCGGTGTACTAGTCCAGGGGTGTGGTAACTGAACGGTCGATGTGAGATTTCCAGAAGTGGTTCCCCAAGTAGCGTAATAATTCTTGAGGTTTCCTAAAAGTCACCATGGGTTTTAAATGGTATACTCTAAGTCATGGTCGTTTCCGACTTGGATGATTTGGGGTACGCCCTGGGTACCAGGTGGGTGTAGCAGCGTCGTCTTGGTGTTCTTCGCCTGAGGACGGCGCCAATTCCACCTGGTACACTAACAGTTTGCGAACTGGAACATCACCATCTTTACTAGGTAAATCAACGAACTAAATGGGCCATGTTCATCCATTTTCAATAGCCATGTAACAAATTACCAGAGGATATTTTCCCATCATTTCCCTGTTTTTGTGTGGTGTTTATGTGGTGTTTTGCATATGTGTATTCTCATACAGTAATTATACATGTATGCAATGTCTAAGTGTAGGTAGGTAGATATAAATATGTCTTTTTGAACACCAACTCTTGCACTTCATTTCCTCGCAATTGGATCATTTGTCCTGCAAAGTTGCTTTGCTGTAAGGTTCCCAGGGGCCCACTCAAATTTATGTTGCAAGGGGTTGTTGCAAATCAATCATAGCACTTGAATACAACACTATGTTGTTCCGGGCCCTTCTCACGAACAGGTTTCAATATAATTAAGTCATGTATATAACTAGTAACCCCTCTAAAATAGGTCCAATCTTTAAAAAAGTAAGATCCTGCCTGGCCCTGCCTTTTTTATTTTGGGAGGGTTGCTACGCTATAACATGGTGCCATTTGGATCGGAGTTTTGGCTCCCGATGGCAGTGGCCTCACGTCGCGCCGATGGCGGGAAGTGGCGTGCTTCGAAGCAGCGAAGGGATGGGCAAGATGCCCTCAGGTGGACATGGCTGGGCGTTGGCTAAAGCTGTGGATGGAAGAAATCCTGCACCAGTTGATAGGTGTTTTATCTTTATCCCATTATTTATAGGGTTTCAACCATCCAAGGTGGTGCAGGATTTCTTCCATCCACCATAGGTTTCAATTGTTTCAATACGAAGTCATGGTCGTTTTTGACTTGGATTTTTTGGAAGTAGCCTCTCATTTTAGGAAACTTCCAAGTGGTGACACGGAAGAGGGTGATGATTGGAGATCTTTTTTTTGAAAAGAAATTGGCACTTGAAACCTCACGAAATCTCACCTGGCAAAGAATTCGATTCTGATAGGAAGAGAGTCCAAGTTCTGTTCGAAAATGATAAACATGGATATACGATGATATCCGTAGGAGAGTGCAAATTGATGAATTGCAAGGTTGGATTACCGGAGGAAGGGTTTCGAGTAGATCACAGATCACCAGCTGAGTGGTACAGAATGTCAAGGGTCTCAGTTTCGCAGTGAAGTTCAGGGACATGCGATGTCGTGTTTTTTGTTTCCACTACTTGTGGTGGATTGTCTAGGAGTATCGGCAGTATTGGCAGTGCATTTTGGGTCAAATCACCTCGAACATGGTCCTACCTTTTGGATCCTTTTGGTTGATAGACATAGGGATTCCGAGATTCCGAGATTCACGTGGTAAACTCTATGCCATATACCGCAATTAGGGAAGGGTTACAGAACCCATTTCTGGTGTAGTTGGATGCTTTAATTCTTACAATACTACCCTCTGGTAGTTGAACAGTTAGCTATGGAAAATGACCTGTTTTGTTCAATGGTTTACCTATTACACATAGTAAAAAACCAGGTATTTGTCCTCCGCATAGCTATGCTAAATTACCACAGGGTACATTTTTTGGATTTTCTTTTGATCCCTGAACCATGCAGACCTTGCCAGGATGTGGACGGCATCCATCTCTGCGGCGGGCAAAAAGAAGGCTTGGGAGAAGGTGCAGTGCCCGGGCGCGGTCATCTGGGCTCCCAGGAAGTTGAGAAATTGTCCATGGATGCTGCAGTTGTGGTGGACATATTCAACATGATTCAACCTCATCACCTGGATTACCTGGAGTTTTGAAGGTGACTTTGACAAAGTCTCTTCAGGATGGAGAGAACTTAGATGAACTTAGATTCAGCTGCTCTCGAGTCAGTGGAAAGGGATTGAGAGGCAGAAAAGTGAAGTCCAATTCAACATATCTTTCGTCGTCAGTTGGCTCTGAGTCAATATTAAAGTATGCATGGTCGTTCTTAAAAGACAACATCTGAATTGGATAGCACATTACTTATATCCCTCGAACATGATCCCCCCTTGCCCGGCTGACATCTCAGGCAGTTCCATCCCACAAATATCCTCCTCAACTCATGTTAAATCCTGTCTTTTTTCATGCAAATCAGCTTCAAATCCTTCCATTTTTTTTCCAACATCTCACCATGCCATTCCCAAGGTTCGACCATGGCCATCATGGCCATCCCATGAACCCAGGCCTTGCAGCTGCTTTTTGAGGGCCAGCAGCGCCGCTTGGGACCCAACGTCATTGCCTGCAACGCCGCCATCAGTGCTTGTGAGAAGGTGGGGGATTCAGCCACCAACATAACCACCATTAGATATGAGATAATATAACTATATATAACTATGTAACTTAATCTTGAATGTGACAATTTAATGGGTGTGTATATATATATATGTATGTATATATATATATATATATTCTATGTAAGGTTATTAATTAGCCACTAGCCATTATTAACTAATATTTAACACAGATAATAGGGATTTTAGCATCAGACAGCGTGGACAGGTTGGGAAATTCATGGAAATTTGACTATTGATGTTTTTGTGGAGCTTCAACAATTTACTTGGGAGTTTGTGGTCAAGGTTCATTGGATTTACCATGGGGGATATTTAATGATATTTTACGGAATGTATAACCAACTTGATATGTTTTATCTGTCGTTTTGAACATGGGTATGCTGATTGGAGGGGGTTCCTCTCTTCAGACAATCCCATATTTATCTCCAACAATTTAGAGGTTACTACATGTTTGGTGTCAAGGTGATTTTGTTTGAGGGTCTAAGTCTTGATGTTTAGTTTGGTGGGAAGTCTGTGCTGGGCTTAGGAGAATAGGAGCTTTTGGAGAGACTTAGGGTTGTAAGTGGGTATGCGTATAATAAATAAATAGATAAATAAATATTAATATATGTATTTATATATATATATTATATTACAAGATTATATAAATCATGTAAATGCTGGGATGCTGCTTTTGGCCTACCCTCCAAGATGTTGGTTCTACAAACAATCTACTACGCATAGCGAATGGATTCAATCACCACGTTGGATTCCTCAACACGAAATCGAGGGTTTCTCTGGAGGGAGTAACCAATCAGAATCGGTAACTATTCCAGCTTCATTGCTTGCAGTTTGGATTTGCGATCCAGTACCACATGAACTACATTGTGCCGCGAATCTCCACAATGTTTGTAGATCGCTTACATGTAGATGGTCCCCTAAATTAAGATTGGAATTCAAAAATATCAAAGAAACAATGTCCAATATACAAATCTTGAACATGTATCATCATTTTTTAAATTCGTTGCATTTAACAACCTCGGAGCAGCCCGCCAGGCTGCCCGGTGGCCACAGGCAATTGCCTTGCTACAGCCAGACTCGGAGATCCAAGGCTGGGCCACCGACCTATCCAGGGAAACCCTGACACATCTTGGGGTGTTGATGGACATAACTATGGCAACTATCTCCATAAGTTGAGTCTTAAGCCCTATAACTTAGCCTATAACTATGGTTTTATACATATTCTATCATATTATATATATATATATATTATGTATATATATATATGTATGTGTATATATATATATATATCAGATGATAATTGGAACTTCACCTAACTGCACCTCCAATCACTCACCCAAAGCCAAGATTTTTGGCGCAGCGGTGATCAAGTCACCTCGTCACCAGCTGCAGGTTGGAATGGTGCCATCTCGGCCTGTTCCAAGGCATGGTGGGACGCCGGAACGGCATGGTTCGATAGCATGTTTCGGCACGTAACTGGTGGTGGTTTTTGTCAACATGAGCGAAAATCCAACACCAACATCATCCAACATCACAGGGAATGGATCAAAAGTTGGCTAAAGTGCTGTATTGGTTTGAAGTGATTATTCCTCATTTGGTGGTTTCTATCCCTTTCCCCAACCATGATAGAAATTGGTAGAATCAATTTCCCAAATTTCAAAAGGAATGTTATTTGGCCTTTCAACTATCTTCCCAGAATTGGGTGCAGTGGAAATTTACCCTGCGTTTGGTGGTAAAAACCTTCCTTTACTTTTCCTTAAATCACTCCATTTTTCACTCTGCAATTCGCCAAGTTTCAGTCATTTCCAGTCCAATGAAACCATCAAAAATCCAACCTGTTCCTTTTTGGGGCTTACTAATCCCTTCCAACATTCAACTCCTCCAAACGAAACCATAGATTTTTGATGATTTTTGATGATTTTTGAGTCAGGAATTTCCATGAAAATCTTGGGACCATACAATGGGATTCTACCCATCGTTTCACCTGAGGCCGGTGCCTGGTCGATGGCCTTGCTGCTCCTCAGCGCCTTGGAGAAGCTGCCGGCACGGCGGGATGCGGTGCACTTCGGGCTGCGGATCGCCTGTGAGGCGCGCAGGTATCTGATGGGAAGATGGAGATATGGGATATAGATATCCCGTTATCCATACCCCCATTTGTTTATTTCAATGGGTGGTATAAACAATCCCCACATGGTAGATGATGCATATATATATATGTATACTGTATCTATACATGCATACATATGTATGTTTGTATGTATGGAATGGAATGGAATGGAGTTGAGTGGAGTGGAGTGGAGTGGAGTGGAATGGAGTGGAATGGAGTGGAGTGGAGTGGAGTGGAGTGGAGTGGAGTGTGTGTATGTCTGTATGTATATATACATATATATACGTGGATGGGTCAAGACCTATGAAATTTCCATATGACTAGGGGCATAACCATCCAGCTATACCAACTATTGTAGGGTACCTAGGGTGCCAGGGTGTTGACTCATAGCCATCTGGGAACCAACCAAAACTGCTGCGGCATTCTTTGTGTCGCAGCAACAAGTTGTCAAGTTTCCGATGATTGAGGGATTGGGTAACCGTTCACAAATAGCCTTGCAAGGCTTATTTCAGCTGACCGAGTATGGAGGGAAGTGGAGGGGCCTATCTAGATTAGGAGCTGTAGTGATCAAAACTATGAGTATATTTTATACATGTACATACTTTGATCACCACTCGAAATGAAGATAGTTGAGGTCAAAGATGCTATACCACTATTCTAAAAATCATTTATTGTATACCACTTTTCTATATGAAAGATTCTGAAAGATGGTTCGAAATCAGTTTTTTTTTCACAAATCAACCTAAGTTCGCCCAACGGAAGGCCCCTCGAAGTTGGCAGAAGGCGATCACTTCCTTGGTGGCCATGCAAGAGGTGGGCCATTCTGCGAACGCCGGGGATAGAACTGTTACATAATTTGATGGGATAAATAACATTAATCAACATTGATTAACTTGAATCAACATGAATTAACATGAATTAACATGAATTAACATTAACCAACAGTAACTAACATTGATTAACATTAATTAACATTAATTAACTTGATATGCATTGTTTTTGGTGTGTCTGAAATTGTTTTTCCCCCAACATATCCCAACATGGCGATTTGCTGACGTGCTTACCGCACTGGCCATGATGGTCTTGCAGCGCTAAAATGAAAAGATCCGGTACTAAAGCAAGGAGTCTCTGGATGTTTATGATTTTGCGGAAAGGAGTACACTTTCATGACGTTCATTGTCAGACTTGATCTATATTTATATTTGATATATTGATGTACTTTAATATGATATAATACAATATAATATGTTATAATATAAAATAAATTAATATAATATAATATAATACGTATATCTATACAATCATGTGTTGGTTGTTTCTTCATGATTTGTCAACCATGTTCTTGTAATCTAGTCATGAACTATGATTGGTTTCAGATCCCTGTCACTGTTGGTTTGCATCGAATCCGTTTTTTTGTCTTGTTTGTATGCTCATAATTGTTGTGTGCAATTGCGACCAATTGTATCCTGCTGGTGGTTCCAATCATAGTTGTCCATTCATCTATTCTAGGTAAAATGTTATATATATATACACATTATATATATGATATAATGATATATAATGTGTATTGTATATAAATACATTTTTTTATGATTTGTTTGATTTTTGTCACTCCCATCTCAGATCATTCTTAGGTGATCTGATCTGGTCAGGCTGCCTTGGAGCCCAACGTGAGAAACTTCTCTGCACTTCTCCGAGGATGCAAGGACGCCCTTGGGGACGCCCTTGGCCCATTCCGGTGGCCTCATAGGATTTGGGGATTTCATGGTGTTACAGTGTTTGATGTCACTAGGCTCAAGCGAGGATTTCATTTTCTATGGATCATGGCAGTATTCACCGCGTCAGTGTTGCCCAGCCGAGTTGGCAATGGCCATGTCTCAGTGACTATTGAAATTGTGACTTCGTTCAGTGGTGAAGATGTTTGTAGCTTCCAGATGCCTGGTGGAACGCTGGCAGATCTGGAGGGCGTCCTCTGTGATTCAACGGGACCGATGTCTTGGTGTTGTCCTTCTTCGCGGCTCCTTTTCTACACAGAGGATGAACCATCCAGGCCACGTTTGACCTGCAACGACAGGTTGGTACGTTTGGCTCGCTGGTGATCAAACATGGGGATGTGGACGCATGGCTGCAGACGTACCCAGACACAGGGAAATTTCTGCAAGCCGTGCTGGGCCACAAGTTTCACCCTCGGCTGCGAGGTTTTGAAAGCAACTGGACTGCAAGAGTAGCAGGGGAAGTTACTTTGGACGTGGCTAAGTGCCTTGTTCACGAGGTCCTGAATGGATCACCCATCCACCAAGACAGTGGACAAAATTTCGTTCAGATCTTCGGGAAGCTAGCTGCTTTGGGTGAGTCATGGCAGATGCTCAATTTGCGATTCCTTCAAACCTTTGACCCTGCACTCAAAACGTTCAAACATTGCGTTTTCCAACATTGGTTGGAGCTCGCACGTGTTGCAGCCACCTCAATGATCTCAGAAGCAACACCCATGCTACTTCTCACGAGATCGAGGCATGGTAACATTGTGGGATGCAGCGTGATCGGGGATGCCCTTCCGGGCAACTTTGATAGATCCTTGCAAAATAGCATTGGGTGGCGCGATGTTCGGTGGCGCGATGATCGGTGGCACGATGTTTCACGTGTATTGCTTTCACTGGACTGGAATCCCCAAGAAGGCTTGGAAGCCTTGCAAACTCTCTTGACAAAGGTGGAACAAGAGCCCACTCAGTTCCGGGCGCTTCAGCAGCAAGAGGTCTCTCAGATGGTTCAGGTGCAGCTGCGCTTGTCCTGTTGCAGAGTTGCAGAAGTCAAAGGGCCCATCAATGAGGTCTGTGTCAAGATGCTTGCAGAGCTGCTTGCCTACAAGCTTATGATCCTGAGGTTTGAAAGCATGCTGGACTTGAAGACTCAGATGAGTGCCTTCCATGGTGACACGTATGATCGTGGAACATTGGTGCTCGTAACGGATATTCCAGCTTCCGAGAGGCCAATCTTCTGTGGACCCCATCGCCTGATCCTTTGTTACAATGCCAAAGAGCTATAGAAGGCAGAATGTGGGCCCCCCCGTTATGAGCTAGTTTGAAGTTTGCACACTCAGTCAACTATATACTATTAAATACTATCAATTAACATCTATTAACATCTATTAACTACAGTCATAAGCATTATAAACCATAGTTACTGGATGTTATTGGAGTTTTCTCAACCAACTTAGCTATCGTTTGGGGGGCCCTCATCGCAGAAGTCATTTTTTTTAATCAAAAGCCAAGACCGAAGTCAGGGCCAAGTTGTAAAACGGTTGATTCACTTGATGCTCCGCAGTGCCCTTGTGTTTGGAACATGACTGGATTATGACTTTCCACATATTTTGGGAATAGGGTGAACAACTGACGAACTCATATTTTTCAGAGGGGTTGAAACCGCCAACCAGGAAGTGTCATCAAACATGGATAGCTGGAAAATTTTGCGAAGTAAATGGTGGATTATGTTCTTGCCATCTTTGAGATGCTAAATCTCTGGGGATATTCTATGGCATATTTTTCAGGATATGATGGGATTTGATGGGGAGTTTCTATGGGATATTATTAAACAACTTTGCCATTATTTTTTAAACCCACAGGAAACCATTGTTTAGTAGGGGATTTACGGATATACTGTATATTTAAGGGACCATGCTGCTCGGTGGTGTCTAATATGAGGGGGATGGGATTCATTCGTGCTATCTGACTGATGTGAAACTGGAAGATGGCACGAGATATCGAATGAACAATTGGACAGAATTTCATTGGATAGTAAAGTGCCAGAAAGTTGCGGAAAGTTGCAGCGATGGTGGTTTGTCTGAGAATATGGTACTCCCAAAGTTTTAAATCCCATTTTCCCATTAAATTTGCCATTTGGAGAGTACCCACCATTTGAAAGCGTCCCATATGATCAAAAGGGTGGACCCTTTGATTAGTTCTGTACAAAACAGGTTGCCCAAACAAATATTGTCATTTGATGAATATGACTCACCATTGGATTTAGTGCGTTGTTTTCCAGTAAGCTGACATAGCTATGGAAATCGATGAGTTTCCTGTAGAGATATTCTACAAATAGTGAATTTTCCCATACCAGGAAGGCTGGTTTACTGTACTGGAGGGGATCCCTATCCGAAGGAGGCGACAGCTTGGGAAAGCGGTTTGGAGTTGCTTCAGCAGATGTTTGCTAAAGGCAGGGTGGTTGGTTACGACAATTGCGGGCTTTACTGGTGCTGGACGTGTGTGGTGTAGACTTCAAGAAGGGTTTCTGAAGATACCACGGAGTGAACATGGCAATCCACGTGGAAGTTCCTTCGCATGGCAAGGTCCTGCCCCGGATGTCTTGGCGGTGAACACGGTCATTGCAAGCAACCCGCCCTGGGTTATCGCTGGGGGTCCCAGGGACCTCTGGAAAGCTTTGTCTCTTTGGTTGATTTTGACTGGTGGTTTCCACATGTGTCAAATATGGTGTTATTATGTGTTATTTTCATTTTTTTCAACCATATTTGACAGGATGACCCGTTCCGATTTTCAGGTTGAAACCATCACTATATTCCCCAGAGGTCATAGGTGGGGTGCCTTTGGGGCGCCTATGTTATGTGGATGTTCAAATTCATTGATCCCCTGAAACAATGGTTGGGTCCAGATCACTTTATTTAGAAAATTGGATACGGATACTTCAAACATCAAAGAACTTTGGCCCATTGCGACCTTTGTAGGTCCAACATTTGAATGATAATGTGTTAGGTCTATAACTTCATATCTAACTTGATACGATATACCTGATATGTCAATTTGGATGATAAATAAATATTCCTAAAATTCGCGCTCAAAGATGCTAGGTCCATTTCCCATAAACTCATCCCAAAATCCCATGAATCCCTTTAAACCACTATGTTTGATGGTTAAGTCTCCAAAATGTTGCTAAACCCAATACGAAAGCGACCCCGTTGGAGGCCCTGGCCTTGTTGGAGCAGATGCCCCGGAGAACTTTGACGCCGCGGCAAGACGCGAAACTATTCCGCTGGTGGTGTTTCGTGCTGGGGATTTCACCCACATTGGAGATGTTGGGGTCTATAGGGATATGGTCTATAGGGATATGGTATATAACTAATGGCTAATAGTGGTTAAGAGTGATTAATAATGATTAATACCTGATTAATGGGGGTAAAATCTATATCTGGTTGGTGGTTTGGAACATGACTTTTATGACTTTCCATATATTGGGAATTTCATAATCCCAACTGACTACAGTAAAATGTTTCAGAGGGGTTAAAACCACCAACCAGTGTAAAATGATGAACAACTATGAACAATTATTTGGAACATTGACATTATATATAGGGATATGATATGTTACTGCTATAAAATGATGAACACTGACTTAGAAAATTGACATTTAACCAGCAAACATGGTAACAAAAACCGCGAATTTCAGCGTCAACAACTGGGACTCAACCAAGAAATAATTGATAACACCGATATGGATTCAAGCGTCAAACAGGGTGGATTTCACCAATTTATAGGGATATGATGGGACATACTGGGGATGTGTAAACTGGGTGTTTCATCCCCAGGAAATACCCCAGAAATTCCCCGATGTGAAAGAACCGGTCAAGTATATCACAGTACATGGGTGTGTCAATGGGGTACACCCCCCAAAAAATAGCCATTTACCCTTTGGTTATTTAACATGGCTGTATGGAACTTGGACCATTTATAGACGATTTATGATTGGTTCCCTTTAAATAAATGTGATTTTCCATATAGCTATGTTAAATAACCAGAGGGTAATAGGGGATACGAACCCCAAAAAAAATAGGGACGGTGACGATGAACCTTTGGGTTCTTTGGGTACCAAGGTCCACCTCTTCTGTGAATGCTGTCATTCAGAGTTGTGGCTGGGAGTCTCAGTGGTTGGGAGAAGCGTATTTTAAGTTAACCCCCGAAATGAATTCATGGGGAAGAATGGGATTTAATAGGGATTTAATTTGTGTTTAAGATGATTTGAGATGATTCAAAAGCATTACCCTTTGAAGTGTGGCTAAATGAAGGGGAAATCGTAGCTGCCATTTGTTTGACTAAATGGGAATATTCAGAAGTGGATCAAAACTGAAGACTCCTCAAGTCACACAAAACTGAGTCATTTCCGCAGTTTTTGTCCAAAATGTTTGGGGCTCGCAATGTTGACCCAAGGTAAAATGTGTGCGTTTGCATCCAAGAAAGATTCATCTGTGAGATTTTATGATCCCCCATTCGAGCAGTAGAGAAACACGCAGCATCACCGTCGTCCTTGATTCTGCCAGGAAGTATGACACAGATATTCTATGATTTTGTCATGATTCAAAACAACAGCTTTACAGTTACAAAAAAACACATCAATCTTCGGAATGTGATGACAGGCTGGAATGGCTGCCATGATGAGATTGATGTGCAAATGGATAATTAAATCTTATTGAGTCTTATTTCAGTACCTCAGTATCACAACACTTCAACAGAATTGCGGAGCTGCCACATGGCGCTCCTCGTGGTCTATGAATCTCCATGAAATCAGCCAGAATGTCATATGTCCAAACTAGCCCCCAAATAGATAGAAATATGACAGTCATGACATATGACGTATATGTTTTTTCTGTAATCCATTACATAATTCATAAAACCATAGTATACATCATTCTTAACCACTATTAGCCATCATTAACTATACTATTAACCATGAACCATTGATCCAGTCATCCCATAGCAATCTTCCAGGTTTGGCCGGTGAGTGGCCGGTGGTGCCGGGCCTCTCAGGAGTTACAGGGGATACCTGGGTCCAGTTACCTATTGATAGGGGGAGGGGTCAAAACCTATGAAATGATCATATTTTGGAGAATAACCATCCATAACCATCCATAAACTCCCCAGCTGTTTGGGGGTACCTCCCTTGGGTACTGAAATTCCATCGGTGCACCTGGAAAGTCGTGTGAAAAGTGTAGGATTATTGATCAAATAAGCCTATCAAATGGGCCTCAAAGATAAATAGATTCAGTAGAAAAAACCAGGGTTTCTAGGTTGGTATATACAATATGAGATTAGGGAAGGGCATTGTGCTTCAGTTGGAAGGGACATCTATACTGAGGCAGCTAAACATACATTTTCTTGCATGCCTTGAAACTTACTGCGACTTTTCAGACATGTCCCGTCCTTGGGAAGTCGAAAAAACATCCATTCGGAGTGGATTCAGTGCATGGCAAAAACAACATGACCAAAGCATAAGGCGACCCCAAAATATTGGTCTTTGACGCTGAGACGTTCATTTTTCATTGCGGTTTATCCCACCATGATGTTATACATCAATCCTATGATTTGCAATCATTATCCCCATATCCCCCATTAAAACTTGATGTCCTTTATTAACCCCATTAAAAATCCCATGTCAATCCTATTATCCCCGATATGATCCCCATATTATCCACAAAGACGCAGGTTGTCCTTGGTGTCCCAGCTGCGCCGTGGCGAGCGGGTCAACATGGACGATGCGCGGAGACCCGTCCGGTTGGACCCGGGGCATGCCGGGGCCTGGACGGAGAGAGCTCCGGTGTATCCAAAAACGTCGTGCTGAGATAAACATTGAAACATATAGAAACTCCAACAAAACATGTAAAAAAGTAGGGATTCAATATGATTCAAGACAAAACTATGTCAAGCAAAATTGATGATCAAAACATACGCTCTTGGGAATCAAGCATCAAAAACAAGGGATTCAACTAGCAATGAAGAATAATTAGCCAGTTTTCACCAGCAAAACTGTGGATATAACCAGCAAACCACCATAGGGGTTGAACCAGCATTTGCTGATATTCCCATTGCCATGAGCTAGTTGTTGACTGTTGGTTTTGGGGATGGTAACCATCAAAAAACTGCAGACTTCAGCAGTAAAGGAGTAGGCTTTCACCATCAATTGGCAGTGTGGCTTTGGATTTGGTTTGGCCATACGTTGGTTTGGCCCGCTTCGTATTTGGTCCTTGCTGGTTTCAAACTTTGGGATTGAGATTCCATCCCATTACAGGCTGGACTGGGGCCTGAAGGGAGAAACAATATAGTCGTGGTGCAATGAACAAAAACAACAGCCAGTGAACATAGGAAGAGTTCAGGCACTACAGTTGTGAGATGTGAGTGGCTGAAACCCCAAGAAAGGAGATCAATTGCAGGTGGGGAAATGCAGACATTCCTTCCAAATGTGGAGTAACCCAGTTACACCCACTGGAAAATCATCTCACTGTGTAACTGGGTGCCTCATAGTTGGCGAAGTTGGCTTAGTTCATCTTAGTCCGCTAGTTTCATTGTTGGGTAGATGCTGATGAAATAGCTATGGCATCCTATGCGTGTAACTAAACTAACACACATATTATTGGGGGGCACCACCACCTTGTAACTGGAGTTCTCCCGAGGTGACTTACGTCAATGCCCTCACTGCCTATGGCCGCAGCAAGAGGCAACGCGGCCAGACGCATGGGCCGCAGCAACCTCAACAGAACATCCGTTGATGGACTAAGTCTTGGTTCAACATTAGAGACCTCCACATTGCGTGGATTAATTTGAAACTGTTGTTGCTAGTTTCACATTTGAATAATTTATTCAAGTATAATTTATAATATATATATATATTATATACAGTACATATATATATATATATATATTGTACAAGTGTTGTTTAGGCTGTTCTCTGGGCCATGTTTTTTGATGTTGTTTGTCACAACCCCACTTCATTGCTTACTCCATGGTTTCAGATCTACATTGTTTCTTGGTTTATTCCCAATCTTGTTGGTGTAATTTCCGTAGTTTTATCTGATTTGAGCCCCCCGAGACTTTCATACAACAAATGATATAAAACTATATAATTATAACATGAATAAATGAATGAATACTGACTTATGGGAAAATTCAATGAGAGATGCCATTCAAACATGATATTATTCCATATTATTACCAAGTGGTCACTCCATGTTTAAATCAACACCACCGCACCTTCGCAGGCGCGACTTCGTTTCGGAGCTGCTCCAGGACTTGAGGTGGGAAAGCTCAAAAAAAGGGGTCCAGGGCCCGATTGGCAGAGTTTCACTGGTCTAACTGTAGAGAGATCACAAGTTATCATGATTTATATATGTCATATATCATGGAAAATATCATGATATATCCACCAGATAATATATCATGATATATCCACCATAAATTCCTGCAAAAAAACATGGAAAACTGATCAACCCTACTGGAGATGGAATCAGTCACCCACTGACAGAGTCAAAGCGCAGTGAGTCAATCACTCCCCACGTCGGAGTCAGTCACCCTCCGCCCCCCCACTGGGGGCGAGGGGTGACTGCACTGCGGCGTGCTTCCATACATGCATGTTTTTTCAAACATGCAACATGCTTGTCTCTTTCAGGCACTGGCTTTTCAGATGATTGCTCATTGACCTTTCTTTCTTGCTTACAACTCAACATACGGTTTAGGGAATATTCAGGCTTGATTTAGGTTTTATTTAGGGTTGGTTGAGGGGTAATGTAGGGTTTCATCAAGGTTTGGTTTAGGGTCTATTTAGGGTTTACTTTGCGTTGCTTTGGGGTTTATTTAGGCCTGGTTTAGGGTTTTTAAGGGTTGGTTTAAAGTTAAGTTAGGGTTTCATCAGGGTTTGCGCGAAGGTTGGGTTAGGGTTTATTTCGGCTTGGTGTAGGGTATAGTCAGGCTTGGTTTAGGTTTTATTTGAGGTTACGTTTTTCCATGTTCCCATGGGTTCCTTAATAGATAAATAAATAAATAGATAGATAGATAGAAAGAAAGATACATAGATAGATAGATTGAGAGATAGAGAGAGAGAGAGATGGATAGATGGATGGATGGATGGATGGATAGATAGATAGACATATCCATAGATAGATCCATAGATAGATAGATAGATAGATAGATAAATAGATAGATAGATAGATAGATAAATAGATAGATAGATAGATAAATAGATAGATATATATAGATAGATAGATAGATAGATAGCTAGCTAGATAGATAGATAGATAGATAGCTAGATAGATAGATAGATAGATAACTAGATAGCTTTCAGGGGTGACTGACTCTTTGTTGGGGTGACCGATTCTTTGTTGCTGACTTTCTGTTTTCCTCCGGGTTCCTTCATCATCCTCCCGGCTTCCGAGGGGTGACTGACTCTTGGTTGCTGACTCTCTGTCTCCCGTTCATGGTTTCCCTGCACCCTGTGCTAATGTTCACCCGCGGCTGACTTTGCCTTATGGGGTTACTGACTCGGACGTTTGGGGCGACTGACTCGGGTGACTGACTCTGTCTTTGCCCAACCCTACTGTAGCAACTGCTTTGATATGCTCACTATGTTAGAATGCCCAACATGTAGGTGTTCCCATAGACAGGAAACAGGTTTCCGGAAGGTGCGTCCTCCTATTATTCGCTTTTGATAATGATTTCCTTCTCCAAAGCAAAAAGTACTCATCTCCGGTCATTCGGGGAAGCAAACACTGATTATATAAGATCACCGATTTATTGTTTATTTGTGAGGGGATCTCGTGTTAAAGCGCACACACAATTACAAACGCCTTTGCAAGTAGATATGGTTTGACTTACTCCAAACTGAGACGGTCTATTACAACTCGTCATCCATCACTTTATGTTGATGTTGATGTTGACGTTGATTTTGTTGTTGATGATGTTGGTGATGGATGCTGACGGATGATGACGATGATGATGATGATGGTGGTGGTGGTGGTGAATGCCAGTGCTAATGCGGATGCCAATGCTAATGCTGATGCTAGTGCTGGTGATGGTGTTGGTGTTGGTGTTGGCGATGATGCTGACAACAATGGGGTGATGAATATGTATGATTATGTAAGTTGATATCAGATATCCTTTGCATATTCACATAGATTCGAGCATTCTGCATACTTGTACCTCTCTATCTTCGTTGAAAACGGTACTGCCAAATTGGATTCAGCAATACGGGTGTGGTTTGGGGCTTACCACATTGTATCCCACTAGTTCGTTCACATGTTTGTTAATTAAATCAGTTGAGTCCCCATGATCCACGTTTCACGGTCAAATCACCCGGTTTCATGGCCAAATAACGTTTTTCACTGATGAATTCACCATTCCATATGGAGGTTTCCTCAGTCATGGGGGTACCCCAAATCATCCAAGTATTCCAAGTATTCCAAATCACCCACCATGACTTCGTTAGTTCTTCAACCGGTGGGGATCCCCCATGGAGGCATCCCTCATCGCAGCCGTCCGTCAGCGCCTTCAGCGCTGTGGTGGCAGCGGCCCACTGGGCAGAGGCGCTGCAGCTGCTCGAGGAGATCGCCAGGTGCCGTGCCCGTCACGGCGTGGCCGAAAGTGACATGGATTAACCATGGATTAACCATCAAAATCTGGAGGTTCAAGCACCGATGGCTTAAAATGAGATTAACCATGGCGACAAACCATCAAAGTCTTCAGGTTTAACATGGTTTAACCATCAGAAAGTGAAGAGACGAGACATGACGAGACCAAGGAAAACGTGAGATACCCTGGTTTTGTTGAAACAATGGTTTAACACCTCATTTCCCCATTGACATGACAATTTTGAGCTATGTTCCACTTCCATTTAAAACCAAATCCATAATTATGTATTGGCTGAATCCCAAACTTGTGATGGTTAAACCATGTTAAACCCTTATTTTGGCCGGTGAAACCTACATTTTTGAGGGGTAAAATCATTGCCACGGGCTGTTCCCTTGCCTAGTCGTCAACTGCGTCCTCAACGACAAGACCTCAACGCAGTCATTGGCAACGCGGCGGAAGGCACATTCGGTGCTCCAGTCCTTTAGCACCAACTGTTTATGCCAGTGGTTTACTGGCAGTTATGACGGATGTATCATATATCTATAGTTGGATGGACCTTGGGAGGGGTTTATAGATCGACTTAATTATATCTGGGGGGCAGTCACTTTATATAAGCTATATATAGCTATATCGATGTGGTTTTGTTCTTGTCTCACTCATGATACCGTGATTTCCACTCATGTGTCAATATGTGCGAGCAAAAGGAAGATGCAACTAGATTTAGGTAGTATAGTTGCCTCACCCTGCGAGGTTTCAGCCCAAGGAGTTCTAGATTGACAGGTGTTTCCTACTATCCACTGTTTCAACAAAGACATGTCAAAGAAACCAAGTATAGTGATGTATAGTGAACTCACAGCTGTTCAAGCTTGGATTTTGTGGGTGATCGAACCACCAAGACACATGTGTCATGGTCAAAAGTCGTAGTAGATAAATACCCATATAGGAACATTTGATCATCCCACCATTAAGATGGGTTCAATACTCCCCTTACAAGCAATCCCATTCATGATGGTGGGATGACGATAACGCAAATATCATATCCTCATATTTGATTGCGCATCGCCATTACATCTCTGTATATCCACGATTACTAGTGTTGGATTTATTCCATATATTCCCTCTGATTCTCCATCATCATTTCTCGTAATCTTACTATAAATCTCACTATTCATTGCTAGCTTCTAATTTTCATGCTTAGTAATACTAAGTAAGAATGAATCATGGGACCATAACATACCAACCAACCACATTGTGTAGCGGGTAATAAATGGGACCATAACTACATAATAGCTACCATTGCTTAGTAGACACATAATTTTTACCCACTCATTGTGGGAAGACCAGAACTAGCGGTTTTCTGTTCAGAGCTAGGGAGCCATAGAGCTTGTGTCTTCCCAATTTATAACCCCATGTTTAATATACTAAATCCTAAAAATGTATAGAAATTGCAATTTTGGATGGATAGAGCATCATAAGTTCGCATGTTTCATGGTTAAATGCCAATGTTTCACCATAAAATCGAGGCTTAAATAATCATGTCCAATCCACATATTTCTTTCCCATGGATTCCCATGGATTCCCATGGTAAGTTGACCAACTCACACACCAGACGCTTGGACGGCTTCCTTTCAGCTCTTCTGCGAGATGCCGTGGCGTTTGGCGGCTTCGCCCAACGATGCTTGGCAGCCGATACAGCGGGGATACCATGGAGATATGCTGTGGTTAATAGTCAATGATGATAATATATTATGTTTCCCGTATATGGATATATAATTATAATTATAATATATATATATATGTATATCAAGTATATAGTGGTTAATGGTCAATACTGAGTAATATACCATTAACCATTATATACTTCAGACCAAAGTGGTTCATAGTGCTTAATAGTGATTAATGATTAATAATTAGTGGTGAATAACTGTGGTTAATGACTAAATAAGGTTTTCTTAAGTCATGAGAGATCTCAAAAAAAAACATTGTTGTTTCAATACTAAGTCAGGGTCGTTTATGACGTCGAGTATTTGAGGTACCCCGAGGACTTTGGGAATCTCCACATATATATATATACAATATATACATGTATATATAATACTTATATGTACTTGTTTAGTCATCCTGGAGTAGATAGAATATGGAGAGTTTCAAAACATCCCCACTGAAACGGGAACAATATTGAGAATTCCGCATTCTATTTGCTTCAGGCTGACTGTATATATAGAATGTAATCGGGAAATTGCCGACCATTTCATGGAGATATAATGGATATTTATGAATCACCTAGGGCAGAGAATGGGACATGTTGGTACATTTTTCTAGCCAACAATTCTAAAACCAAAGGGCATAATTTATGAACATGGGAAATTGAAGTAACCAAATAGATATAAGTCTATACTTAATATATTGCCACTTTTTAGTGTGGAAAACGATAGAGTGGTACTGTAGCTCTGTGTTGACCCAACCACCTTTTCGATGGCCAGAGGTGGCCAGAGTGCCAGAGGCCTTGCCCGGACAAGGCAGTGATCAAAAAGTATGTTTGCTAAGTTGGTTCGTGACGAACATAACTAAGGTTTATCAGGGATATATCGTGTTATTTGATATGATTTTATGATATCTATGTAATTAATTGGGTTTATAGATGATTTTCAGAGCAACTCACAACTGGGGGTCAACCTAATTGTTATATACCTATCAGGTATCTATCACCTACATATGGCTTTAGGCATGTCGGACATCTTCACCATATTGTTTTATTTGGATCTGGGTTTCTCTTTAAAATTGGTACCCCAAAATCTTCTGTTAATATCATTTTTCCCCGTTAAAAGTGTACCAATGTGGGATCCACAAAAATAAATCCTCTGCAAATTATGGTCACTGATTTGTATACCCGCATCATTCATTGGGATGCTTTATTTCATAGCCCCTTCATATGATTGACAATTTGGGGATGGTGTATTTTCGTATTTTATGGATGCCACAGTGTTTTATCGATGCTGAACAGTATAGCTCTCTAGTAATGACTAACTTAGCTATTGAAAATGGACCATTTCCAGTTGATTATGCTATTAAAATGAATATTGTCCATAGTTAATTTACCAGAGGATAACCAGGACCATGTTTTAAAACGTTGGGATCCAAAGTGAGGCCAACTTCCCAGGTCATCAGCCTCACCACTTTGCTCCAAGCCTCGCGAGGAACATCTGCTTGGGAGCCTTGGTTGCATTGCACATGGCCATGGCCACCGGTGGGTCTCCCTATGTTTAAACGTGGACAAAAAGGATGACATGAATCATAACATGAATGAAAATGAATGAACATGGACAAAAATTATGAAAGTCAATGTAAACCAATTTTACAAACAATGAACATCAATGACAATCGTGTTTGAGTAGATATTTTCGATGGGGTATCTTCATTGCCAGCTTAGAATAAAAATCATGGGTGCAGACCAGGATTTGTCCTATATCAGTTATCAACTCACAGTGGTTGTTCATCAATAAATCCGGAGACATCAAAGGTCTACAGGCACCGCCCTGTCCACATTCCACCGGATGAGCTTCCTCCAAATTCTTTGGAACTGGACATGGAAACTCCGTTTCTTTCTGAGTGGGTTCCCCCTGTGAGTTGCTGGTGAGTCTCGCCAGTTGGGTGGCTAGTTGAGGCCGATGCAATTCAATTTGATTTTGGGATATGGGGTTAATCATGCCAGCAAGTGCTGAGACATGCCAATTTGTTGGGTCTAACGACTTGCAATTTATAGCTGGTTGGTGGTTTGGAACATTTTTTATTTTCCATAATGTATGGGATAATCCTTCCCATTGACTATATAATATTTTTCAAGATGGTTAAAACCACCAACCAGATAGGCGTTCTTCGACGGGACTCGTGAGGATGTGTCACTGGATCTTTTGTGGCGATCCAACATTGAGCCCAATGTCATGAGCGTTGCAGTGCCTGGGTGAAAGGCTGAATGGTCATGTGAATCCCTCATATCATTTTTTGGTTCACCGCAGATATACACTATATTCATATATACAGATATATATATATATATTATATTATATATATATATATATTATCTATATATATATATATATTATATATATATCATGTGATGAGCTTCTATGTTGGTGAACAGGTTGGGTCAAAGTTCTACGTGGTTTTCAGCGAAAAACCACTGTCAATCGAGCACCAGGTTCAGGGGAGATGGCAAGAAGATATACTAAGATGTACGGTTTTGGTTATAAGAGGTTATCCTCTGGTAAACTAACATAACTATGGAAAATCACCATGTTTAATCCACTATAAATGGCAATTTTCAATAGCTATGTTTGGTTATGGTTAGCAAGTTTTGCGGACTCTTTGGGCTTAAAAGCTATGAAATATGAGTTTCAAGGCTCCAAATGGCTTGAATGAAGCTTTAAAATGCAACATGAGCTGGTGTGGTTATGAGATGGTCATGTTACATGTCAAACAAAACATTTCAAAACACAATGTAATCTTACAATAAATGTGCTTTCATCAATGATTTTGACATTGTGTTTGGAAAGTGAACAACACACGACTGACCAGAATACTACATTTTCTGCAGAGATGTTGTCTCTTTCCAAGAAAGTTTTGTTTGTTTAGCATTTTGGAAAAATGCATGTATATATATATATACACAATGATTTTGATGCCTGCAATGAATTCTGCATTATATTGTTGTACATATTACCATATATATATATATACACACTATTTGACATATTTATTGGATGTGTTCACAATAGTTTATGTTTCTCGAAATATATATATATATATATATTTGATATTGAAGAGACATAAGTGCAATTTCCAGCTGCAAATTCTGCATTTTCTGAAACATGTTCTGCATCCTGTCATGCTGTTCATGAGTGCTTTTCAAAAAAGAACATGTCCAGATTGAACATGCACTTCTTCAAAAGATAGTGTCACTAAGATTGAAACTAGACCTTTTCCAGGCATCATCTATATTTTGCCTTAAAAGCGCTGCCTTGTTGAAAAGAAATAACACACTTGCAGGGAAACAATACATTTTGTGCATGAAAACGCAACTGAGCATTGAGAAATGCACTTCCTGAAAAGACGGCTGTATCTTGAACAAGTTTTTTTTTGAGAAGTTCATGCATCTTGAGAACAACCCTGCTTTCTGCAGTGAATTGTGTACTGTACCTTTGTGAAAATGTAAAAATACAAGCACATGTTTGAAAGATTTATTGCATGCTCTGCACAATTACTGCCCCTTTCAAAGGAGATAATGGGCTGTAGGCTGTATTGAACAAAAATTGGTTGTATTCTCCAGCTATAGGCTGTACACTTCCTGCTAGGGGTATTGCATCCTTGAATGGCATATTGCTCATTTTTATAGGAGTGATGTCTGACTAGTGGGAAGCGGAAGGATTCGCTTTGAAAATATTGTTGTATATTTCAACCATACATTTTGTTTGAAAGACTAGTACAT